TTGACGTTCAATTAGGATTTTAATTAAAGTTTGACCTAGGATTTGACCTAAGATTTGATTAAGATTCAATTAGAATTTCAATTAAGATCATATTACAGTTTTTATTTTTAATAATTTAAAAGATTTATTTATTTATTTATTTAATATATATATATATTTATTTTATTTTATTTTATTTTAGTTTTTTGGATTAATCAAAGTTTGATCAGGATTATTAAGCTCTACTTAAGATTATTTAAGATTCTATTAGACTTGGTAGGATTGTTCTTGCATTTCTACTAACCATCCATAGATTGGTACTTCATATGTTCTCAAGCAAGAATACAAGTAATAAAACACTGATATTACGAACTTCTTAATATACCCTCGAGGACTAAAAGACACTATAAGAAAATATAGCCAAGGGATTGAATATAGTGATGAGTTAAAGCATACAAAGATTCTTTAGAACTTGTATTAGTAATATCATGAAAATAGAAATCTTCATCCAAGAGTAACTCAAAATGTCTCTACTATGCACAAAACCTCCTTTTCACATCCAAAGGCCTCTGATCCTCAACTTAAAAAAATTGAATGTAACTAAGGGTATAAACTTTCACAAATTCCAAAACAATCTACTTACTAGAAGCATCAACTAACTACTACACATGCCTACTCAAAATCCACAGTTTAATAAGAAATATCAATTACTAATAAAAAACAGATGCAAGAAAACTATATTTTGAAGTAATTCATCAAGAGCATAAGCAATAAATAAAAATAAATAAAGAAATAAATACATAAATAAATGAAAGGATACTATAAATATTACAATGTATTCATGTCAGATGTTGCAAGCACCAATTGGAAATAAAAAAAATCACATTTCACATATTCTAATTTTTTATCAAATATCTAATAATAAAATATAATATAAAAAATTGATATTTAATATTATTATCAAATAGAATCCATTCTTCATACAAGAATATAATGTATACCACTTCTGCAAAATTATTCATTAATAAATATTCTATTCACTATTTGAACAAGATAACAATCAAAATAAAATTACTTACAATATAAAAATATAAAATAACAAAATGTAACCAAAGATATCAACTCTCACAAGCTCCAAAATAGCCTACTCACTTGAACCATCAATCAATTACTTCTAATGCATGCTCACACTTTAAAGTTTAAATAACAACTATAAATCTTGAATAAAGAGTAAATGGGAGAAAACCTTGCCTTGAACTAAAACATAAAGCAACAAAGGCAATACACAAAAAAAAATATAAACAAAAACAAAAAGATACCATGACAACAACGGCATACCTATGTCAGATGTTATAAGCACCAATTGGAAATAAAAAAACATCACATTTCATATATTCTAAAACTTTAAAAAAATGTCTAATAATAAATTATAATATAAAAATTTGGTATTTAACTTTATTTTTTTATACAATCCACTCTTCATAGAGAAATATAATGCATGCCACCTCCACATAATCATTCACTAATAAATGTTCTATTCACTGTTTGAACAAAATAACAATCGGCATACATTTGCTTATAATATAATAATGCAATAGTAGTCTATTAAAGTATGTGAACTGTACATGAGCCATTGTATTATATATAAATCATAAACTGAATACAAAACTCAGGCTGGAAATGAACACACTCTCATCGTATTCTGCAACACTATTTATGAGGGAGGATGAACGAGAGTCAGTCATTCTGTTGTCCTGGATTACTCCTCCACATTCGTTCCTTCTCCCCCAAGCCCTGAGCCCTGTTTGGACTGGGACACTGCACGATACACTCAGTGATCCTCCAAAATCATTCCTGCAGCATCAATCAAGCTGCAATCATTCCTGATACAAGCATTAGACTCTTCTCCAAAGTATCGATGCGCTGCTGCAACCGGACGCGACGGCCGATGATTTTCGAGTCTTGCTGCATGAGAGTCCCTAACTCTTCCGGGGACGAGAATTCTTGCATCATCGTTAGCTCCTGAAGGCGATTCACTATCGTCCTCTACAGTGCGTAGCGAATTTCCAAGGGTATCTCGTCTGCGAGGCGTTCGTGCATAATTTTTGAATACGCTGCAATGCGGACCTTCATTTTCCATGCCTCTCGGTACCACCCTGTCGCAATTACTGCTTCGTTAAGAATCAGCCCCTCACGGATAGGTCCAACATCTTATTCGATATATGCTTGGTTTGAGCGCCGAGCTGTTTCCACAGCAGAATTTACCTTCGCCATAGTTTCCAATTAGGAGGCATTCGTTGTGAAGATGACCGTTCTCTCTTTGGCCAACATTCTCTCAACGAACTCCACAGTTGTCATTTTGGTCTCATTCAGGACTTGGATTGCAAGCTTGTGGTGCTTGTCCCTCAAGTGAGGGTAGACTTCAAATATAAGACTTTGAACATGTAGCACAACTTCGGCGGCATATTTGAACACTCGGTCCACGAGGAATATACACGTCTGGGTGATGCTATCGATCTGTTTCTTCACCAACTGGTGCAAGACCGTGTGAGGCAGGAAGTCGGGAAGGGCCACTCCCTGATGCTCCGAGAACATCTGCCTAATCTCGTCAGTTTTGGATGGCTGGGACAGCCGCAGCCCAGATTTGCCCAGGTCTTCAGCAAATTTCGTGAATTCCTCGTGCAATCTTGCTGTGTAATGAAGAGTACAATCGTCGGGAACCAGACTGAAGTCTCCGTCCCGAACGACCTGAGTGAGCATGTTTAGCATTTCATTTTGCAGTCGTAAGAAGACCGCGACGGCCTCATTAACGCTGTCAATGCTCCTCGGAACATTGCTCATCTCCTGACGCCGCTTCTAGAGCGCTTCGTGTATTTGATCGCGGATGCGAGGTAAGCATCCCCTCACCATGTCCGATTGTATCTTGACGAGCCTTCGCGCAAGGGTGGGAATGCCAACCATGCTTCGGTCTATGTTTCTGAGGTCCGGGTGGTCATTAAATAACTCTAACTCTCGACACCTTGCCACAGCTATGCTGTCATCGGCAGGTGTGCGGTTGCGCACGCAAACATAACCGAGACCAATGCCGACGGCATCCGAGGTCACTTTCTTGAACAATCCCTCCGGCGCTTTATCTACCTTCGTGACAACCGCCAGCGTGCGCACGCCCTTTTTGTCCACAGTCTGAGAAAGCCGGATGGACTCGCAGGTGGAAAAATCAACCTCGGCTGGGAGGACGTTCAGGATTATGCTCTCCTCGGGTTTTATGTAGCGCATTATCATGTCACGAACCTCCTCGTAAATATTCTCCAGCTGACCATGAACTAGTACATGTGTAATGCCTGGGAGATCCACCATGGGAAGGTCGGGTGCGTCCGGCTTTCGGATGTGCAGGGAAATCGGAGTGTTTCTGATGTTTTTGTTGCTGCCGGCAAGGTCATCCGTAGCGGCATTGATAGCTGCTTCGATGTCGTCCTCTGAGTTGATTCTCATTTCTTTGACACTTCCGTACTCCATTAGAATTTTGGAATTCTGTTCGGAGAGGCAAGACTGGAGTCGAAGGATGAGAGGCACCCCAGTAGCAATCCCCTGCCCTCGAGGCAGCGTGATACCTGCGAGTGACTCGAGCACGCTGCTCTTCCCGCTGCTTTGATCGCCGACGACCACGATCGTTGGTATGTTCACGTTCTCCTCCGTGATACCTTGCGTTCGGAGTTTGTCCAACACATCTAGTATGGGTCGTATTTCCGAGTGGAATGAATTACGAAGTGCCTCTGGATCGTAACTTTCGATCGGGTTCAAGTTGCTCCCGCTAGAGACCACCAACATGTTGTTGATCGAGTCATTCATCGTTAATTCCGACTGTTCCGACATGATGAATGTTCTACATATATCGGACTTGGAAGGAAACTGGATTATTGCCCACTGGATTAACAAAAGAGGATCTCTGTATGACATTGTGAAGAACAAAGAACGTCGTTCCAATACGATCACACTTCGAAATCGTGGAGGTAGGATAAAATCAGCGCACAGCACAGCAAACCTCCTTAAAAAACTTGCATCGAAGGCCACACAATGACCATCCAATTGTGAGGTGCACAGCTCACGTAAGCTGCCGTTTCTGCGGCCAGGTTTGGCAATTCCAAAACGGAACTGGCATCACAGGGCAGACAGGGCCACTTTCTGCATTTTCTTAGCCAGTTGTGTGCCAAGGCTACCAGAGCTGGAGTAATATCCAAGTTAATCTAGTTGACTACAGCTGCGACGGACACCGCACCATCAGCAGGGAGAGGACACAAGTTGACCTGCCTGAAGACATATGACATGGCTGAGACGAATAGTTGTTTCTATCCCCTCTGATCATCAGTGGAGCATCTACTTGCTTGAGTTTCCGTGGCCCAGTATTTGTCTAGAAATTATCCACCGCGGAAACAAAAGTCGAGAAATACCCCACCATTGGGGTCGACTAACCACTGGTACTGTGCTACATGCACACAGAGATGAATCAGAATGGGCGACAATGTCTATACTAGTCTCGGTAAGAAGGTGAACCTGATGTCACAAGGCGGTTCTGCAAAGGAAAACCTCGAAATCGCAACCTCGCTGACGGTCAGTGAACTATCGTTGCAGGAGATTTGTTCGCACAAGCCCCTCGCTGCTGATTCTCCAAAGTCTACTGATCAGTTCAACTCGGATGCAGCTTTCCTTCCAGTCAGCTATCGTCTCGGAGAGAACACGTCGCGAGAGAGAGTCCCAGATGATGAACAAGGAGGTTCAGCGCTAGTCAAATACTACTGTGCAAAGGAATATCACTCGCTTCGGCCTGAGTGGTGTTCCGAATTGAGATTGTTTCCAACGGATGACTTGGCGTGACATGCTGCTGGCTATATATAGTGGCTCCGAATGTCCTACCGCAGTAGTGGTTCTTACCGAGACTAGTATAGACACAGTTGGGCATTTGTAACAGGGTGGCTAAGAACTAGATCTGTTCGTTTCCATCACAGCTCCAATGGTGGGGTATTTCTCGACTTTTGTTTCCGCGGTGGATAATTTCTAGACAAATACTGGGCCACGGAAACTCAAGCAAGTAGATGCTCCACTGATGATCAGAGGGGATAGAAACAACTATTCGTCTCAGCCATGTCATATGTCTTCAGGCAGGTCAACTTGTGTCCTCTCCCTGCTGATGGTGCGGTGTCCGTCGCAGCTGTAGTCAACTAGATTAACTTGGATATTACTCCAGCTCTGGTAGCCTTGGCACACAACTGGCTAAGAAAATGCAGAAAGTGGCCCTGTCTGCCCTGTGATGCCAGTTCCGTTTTGGAATTGCCAAACCTGGCCGCAGAAACGGCAGCTTACGTGAGCTGTGCACCTCACAATTGGATGGTCATTGTGTGGCCTTCGATGCAAGTTTTTTAAGGAGGTTTGCTGTGCTGTGCGCTGATTTTATCCTACCTCCACGATTTCGAAGTGTGATCGTATTGGAACGACGTTCTTTGTTCTTCACAATGTCATACAGAGATCCTCTTTTGTTAATCCAGTGGGCAATAATCCAGTTTCCTTCCAAGTCCGATATATGTAGAACATTCATCATGTCGGAACAGTCGGAATTAACGATGAATGACTCGATCAACAACATGTTGGTGGTCTCTAGCGGGAGCAACTTGAACCCGATCGAAAGTTACGATCCAGAGGCACTTCGTAATTCATTCCACTCGGAAATACGACCCATACTAGATGTGTTGGACAAACTCCGAACGCAAGGTATCACGGAGGAGAACGTGAACATACCAACGATCGTGGTCGTCGGCGATCAAAGCAGCGGGAAGAGCAGCGTGCTCGAGTCACTCGCAGGTATCACGCTGCCTCGAGGGCAGGGGATTGCTACTGGGGTGCCTCTCATCCTTCGACTCCAGTCTTGCCTCTCCGAACAGAATTCCAAAATTCTAATGGAGTACGGAAGTGTCAAAGAAATGAGAATCAACTCAGAGGACGACATCGAAGCAGCTATCAATGCCGCTACGGATGACCTTGCCGGCAGCAACAAAAACATCAGAAACACTCCGATTTCCCTGCACATCCGAAAGCCGGACGCACCCGACCTTCCCATGGTGGATCTCCCAGGCATTACACATGTACTAGTTCATGGTCAGCTGGAGAATATTTACGAGGAGGTTCGTGACATGATAATGCGCTACATAAAACCCGAGGAGAGCATAATCCTGAACGTCCTCCCAGCCGAGGTTGATTTTTCCACCTGCGAGTCCATCCGGCTTTCTCAGACTGTGGACAAAAAGGGCGTGCGCACGCTGGCGGTTGTCACGAAGGTAGATAAAGCGCCGGAGGGATTGTTCAAGAAAGTGACCTCGGATGCCGTCGGCATTGGTCTCGGTTATGTTTGCGTGCGCAACCGCACACCTGCCGATGACAGCATAGCTGTGGCAAGGTGTCGAGAGTTAGAGTTATTTAATGACCACCCGGACCTCAGAAACATAGACCGAAGCATGGTTGGCATTCCCACCCTTGCGCGAAGGCTCGTCAAGATACAATCGGACATGGTGAGGGGATGCTTACCTCGCATCCGCGATCAAATACACGAAGCGCTCTAGAAGCGGCGTCAGGAGATGAGCAATGTTCCGAGGAGCATTGACAGCGTTAATGAGGCCGTCGCGGTCTTCTTACGACTGCAAAATGAAATGCTAAACATGCTCACTCAGGTCGTTCGGGACGGAGACTTCAGTCTGGTTCCCGACGATTGTACTCTTCATTACACAGCAAGATTGCACGAGGAATTCACGAAATTTGCTGAAGACCTGGGCAAATCTGGGCTGCGGCTGTCCCAGCCATCCAAAACTGACGAGATTAGGCAGATGTTCTCGGAGCATCAGGGAGTGGCCCTTCCCGACTTCCTGCCTCACACGGTCTTGCACCAGTTGGTGAAGAAACAGATCGATAGCATCACCCAGACGTGTATATTCCTCGTGGACCGAGTGTTCAAATATGCCGCCGAAGTTGTGCTACATGTTCAAAGTCTTATATTTGAAGTCTACCCTCACTTGAGGGACAAGCACCACAAGCTTGCAATCCAAGTCCTGAATGAGACCAAAATGACAACTGTGGAGTTCGTTGAGAGAATGTTGGCCAAAGAGAGAACGGTCATCTTCACAACGAATGCCTCCTAATTGGAAACTATGGCGAAGTTAAATTCTGCTATGGAAACAGCTCGGCGCTCAAACCAAGCATATATCGAATAAGATGTTGGACCTATCCGTGAGGGGCTGATTCTTAACGAAGCAGTACCTGCGATAGGGTGGTGCCTGTTGGTAACAATAACAGTGACTTACCAAACATAACAAACAACCTAAGTGAAACGTAGCAACTAGTCAAATAGGCGAGACCTAAATGGTCGCACCTCCCTCATTATAATTATAATAGTGTACACTCAATTTTAATATAGGTAATATATTCTTTTTATCAAAAACTTTCAAGTTCACTTGCTTCTAATATGATATGAGAGGGAAGCTCTGAAAAAGTTTTATGATATATATTTAAAGAAAACACTGCAGACAGAAAAAGGAGGCTTTGTAGAAGACGTTCTATATAGAAAGTTGGAGCACCGACGAATCCTCTTCTTGTCTTCAAACATGACTGTAAGCAACATTACCATGGATAAGTGGCCTAAGTTTGATGGCTCGTGGTATTCCATCTGGAAGAAAAAGATTGAAATGAAGTTTGAAATGGAGAACTTATGGGATGTAGTTTCAGGAAAAGAAACACAACCAACACTTCTTCAATGAGTAAATGCAACATCAACTTCACCATCAACTAATCAAACTGAAATCCTTACCTTGAAAAGGAAGGATCATGTTGCTTTAGCAGCAATTTGGGATTGCGTAGAAAATCCAATTTTCTCTCATGTCATAGCATGCAAGACAACCAATGAAGCATGGCTGGCCCTTGAAAATACATACTCCGCAGGTGACATCGTCACTCAATCCCACCTACAAGAAAAATTCATCATACCAAAGATGAAAATTGGAGAATCGGTAACTCAACATATACACAACTTTAAATGTCTGCTTCAACAATGCACTTCTGTCGGAGTTATCATTTCTCCTCAAATAGAAATCTTCACTCTCATGAGGTCCATGCCATCCCAGTATGGCATCGTGATACAAATGCTTCGCACAATGGGGACTGTAACACTCCCCACGCTGATTTCAATCCTCTTGCAGGAAGAAACAGCCATGAAAAGCTCTTCTTCTAACTCACATGCCCTCTTTGTAGGACGCAAAGGAAAGACAAAATGGCAACCTCACAAATCCAATCCTAAAGACCATAAGCTTTTAAAACAGCACAACAAACCTACAACTCTTTACCCACATTGTAAGATAATGGGGCATTGGGATTCCGAGTGTTTCAAACACAAAACAGGAGTTGCTGCAAATTCAGCAACAACAAATCATGATAACAAGAAAAATAACCAAATATGGAAGCAAGAACAAGTAGAGGAATTACCTCCCGCTTTCTATGCCCATGTTTACATTACACAAGCTTTTTGCTTGGCGAAATCACCTAAGCTTGGAACCACCAAAGACACACAATGGCTCATTGATACGGGTGCCACCCACCACTTGGCACATAATAAACGACAATTCATTAATTTCAAACCATTTCTACATGATGACAACAAAGTATACCTTGGCGATGGCACAGCATTACCCATCCATGGCCAAAGAGAAGTAGAAATCTCAATGGCAAATGGCGAGATTCTTCGTCTCTCTAATACCTTATATGTACCAGATTTACACAAAAATCTATTCTCAGTATGTGACTATAATCTCGAAGGTGGTGGCATCTTAATAAAAAATCAGATGTGTGATCTATTAGTAAGAACACAATACTCGCCTCCTATCCTATTCGAGATAATCTTTATCTACTAGGATCAACAAAATTCCCAGCCCAAAATGTGGTGGCACATACCATTACTTGGTCGGGAGAATCACCATCTATTTTCGTGACCCCAAGTACCGATCAGAGAGTTTTTATCTCGCAACCTTCACTAACGACCCTTTCTAGTCCTGATCACGTATGCTGGTCACCACAGCTCTCTCCAACGCCGTCTTTCCCCTCTACGAACAACTCTGCCTAATGGACAGTCAACGTGGAGTTATCTTCCGCCTTCAACCCCCATGCCTCTCAACTACCACTACCAGAGCCTCGGAATCCTACTCATCACCACGGAGCACAATAGATTCCTCTCCACCTCAGCACAACAAACTCGCAAGGACATTATGGCCTCCCGGAGATCCCTCCATGGCCGAACCGACTGTCTCTTACTGCTACTATCTTTTCTACCGATATTATGACACTACAACCTATTACAGCCTCATCGATCGAAGCCACTCAAGCTATCACCTCAGTTCCAAGCTCACAACAGTTCTTGTAGCATCAAAGGCTTGGTCATCCCAGTAGTGACCACCTCAAGCACTTCATCACCAACTCAACTGTCACGAGAATCCACCTCAAAACGATCTCCAACCAAATGTGCACAACATGATCTATAGCAAACATTCAACCAAAAAATTTCTAAAACAAGCAACTACAAGAGCCACCCAACCTCTCGAATTAATCCACTCAAACTTAAGCGGCCGCATCTCTACTCCAACATTCTCTAACTACAGATACTATGTTACATTCATCGACGACTTTTCCAAATATATTGTACTAAAACTATTATGAAAAAAGAACAAATGTCTACATGAATTCAAAATTTTTCACATGGGCTGAGAATCAAACAGGCTATAAAATCAAAACTCTCCACTCCAATCAAGGAGGAGAGTACTTATCTTCAAAATTATCTTCAAGTAGTACTCACTACCTGGAAGCACATGGAATTCAACTTCAATTCACCGCTCACTACCTAGAAGCACATAGAATTCAACATCAACTCAACATATCCTATACACCAGGCCAAAATGGTGTGGCTGAATGCAAGAATCGAACTCTCCTCTACACCACAAGGTGCATGCTCCATGAAGCTCAACTCTCTAGATCGTATTAGGGAGAAGCAGGGGGAGAAGCACGGGGAGAAGCAGTCACATGTGCTCCGTATATACAAAATCGACTTCCCACGAAGGCTATTCCTTCTCACACCACTCCATTCGAGATGTGGCACAAGAAGAAGCCCGATCTCACTCACATTCGTGTATTTGGAAGTCGATGTTATGGCAAAATCCCTGATCCGCTCCGTATCAAGCTTGATGGAAAAACGGAGGCTTGCATATTCCTTGGCTATAGCCCAGTCAGCAAGGGATACAAGGTTCAACTCCTCCGCACTGGCGCCACCGTCGTCTCTAGGGACGTCATCCTTCAGGAGAAGCCTGCTCCTCCCCGCCAACCTGTTCAGGCCAGCCCCTCACCCGATGCCAGACTCCAGGAAGACCCACATTTCTTCCTTCCCAGCAGGTCGCAGCTCCCTGCCACTCCACCTGCACGTGTATCCACGCGTGAGCCCCAGCACCCTCTTTCTGATGCTCCGCAGGTGCCGTCAGACCAGCATCAACGTCCTCCTTCACTATCTGTCACGAATCCTCTTGATGATCACCTCTCGTCTGCTGCTCCGGAACCAGATGCTGCTGATGGCCCCAGCCATGGGTTGAGCAATTTTCATATTTTGCTTCCCCTGGCTCCAGATTCCGCCCGTGCTCAGTCCCGACTTGAACAATCCTCCTCGCCCGAGGTACCACCACTCCTCCCGGCTAGACCGTCCCCGCGGCATGACGTCCGGTCTCCCACCGGCTTAGCCCTCATGCCTCATTTAGGCCACCACAAACAAGCTCCCAGCACGGACCATGTTGCTGACTCTCCCGTTGAGTCCCCGCATAGAACCTCTCCTGTACCCGTTCGCAAGTCTTCTCGCACCAACAAAGGCGTACCCCCGCCGCGAGACCCTTCCGAAGATTATGATCCAAGTTCTCTTCGGCCGCGGAAGACTCCTCCGCGACCCTCTCGACCGAAGCGCACTCTTCTAACCCTTGCCGCGGTTCCCATGGAGCCAACGACCTACACGCAAGCCATGACGTCTCCCGACAGTCACCATTGGAAATCTGCCATAGCTGAAGAACTAAACTCCCATGCGATGAACGGCACGTGGATATTTTCGACTCTCCCTGCAGATCGAAAACCCATCACCTGTAAGTGGATTTTCAAGCTCAAATTAAACAGCCACGGCCAAATTGACCGCTACAAGGCCCGTCTCGTAGCCCGGGGTTTTAACCAAATTCCCGGGTTGGACTACCACGAGACGTTCTCCCCGGTGGTGAGAATTCAGTCAATACGACTGATTCTCGCCCTTGCCGCCCAGCTGAACCTTCATGTCCATCAGATAAACGTGAGGACAGCCTTCTTAAATGGCGTTCTCTCCGAGGAAATATTCATGCGGGTGCCGGAGGTGGGGACTTCCCCCCGCCCCGGCAAGGTCTGCCGCTTACTCAAGACCCTCTACATGTCGAAACAGTCTCCCCGAGAATGGTTTACGGTCATAAACAAATTTTTACTGACCCTCGGCTTCACAAATTCTGCTGCGGATGGGAATGTCTATGTGTTACAGAACCGCTCTGACTTCGC